TACTATTATATCAATTACTACTATCACATATAAAATTCTAATGTTAACCGTATATTTTATCAATTATTACATTACATATAACATTCTAATGTATGTCCATGTATTATATAAATTACTTTAACATGTATAACATTCTAATCTGTGTCAATATATTATATCAATTACTACATCACATATAAAATTCTAATTTTAACCGTTTATTTTATCAATTATTACATTACATATAACATTCTAATATATGTCCATGTATTATATCAGATAACACATCACATATAAAATTCTAATGTTAGCCGTGTATTATATCATATAGTACATTACATATAACATTCTAATGTATGTCCATGTATTATAGCGATAACTAAAATACATATAACATTTGAATGTGTGTCCATGTATGATTTCAATTACTAGAAGACATATAACATTGTAATGTATGTCCATGTATTATATCCATTAGTAGAATACATATAACATTCGAATGTATGTACTTCTACTATATCAATTACTACAACACATATACCATTCTAGTGTATGTCCATGTATTATATCACTTACTACAACACATGTAACATTCTAATATATGTTCATGTATTATATGAATTACTACATCACATATAACATTCTAATGTGTGAAATGTAATACATCAAATAATAGAACACATATAACATTCTAATCTATGTCCATATATTATATCAATTACTACATCAATTATAAAATTCTAATGTTAACCGTGTATTATATCAATTATTACATTACATATAACATTCTAATGTATGTCCATGTATTATATCAGATAACACATCACATATAAAATTCTAATGTTAACCGTGTATTATATCAATTATTACATTACATATAACATTCTAATGTAAAATTCTAATGTATTATATCATATAGGACATTACATATAACATTCTAATGTATGTCTATGTATTATATAAATTAGTTTAACACGTATAACATTCTAATCTGTGTCCATATATTATATCAATTACTACATCACATATAAAATTCTAATTTTAACCGTGTATTTTATCAATTATTAAATTACATATAACATTCTAATGTATGTCCATGTATTATATCAGATAATATATCACATATAAAATTCTAATGTTAACCGTGCATTATATCGTGTAGTACATTACATATAACATTCTAATGTATGTCCATGTATTATAGTGATAACTAAAATACATATAACATTTTAATGTGTGTCAATGTATGACTTCAATTACTACAACACATATACCATTCTAGTGTATGTCCATGTATTATATCACTTACTACAACACATGTAACATTCTAATATATGTTCATGTAATATATGAAAAACTACATCACATATAACATTCTAGTGTATGAAATGTAATATATCAAATACTAGAACACATATAAAATTCTAATGCATCTCCATGTATTATATCAATTACTACAACACATATATTAATCTAAAGTATGTCCATGTTTTATATCAATAACTACACTACATATAACATTTTAATGTGTGTCCATGTATTATATCAAATCCTACATCACATATAAAATTCTAATGTTAACCGTGTATTATATCAATTAGTACATTACGTATAACATTCTAATGTCTGAAATGTAATATATCAATTACTACAAAACATATAACATTCTAATATATGTCCATATATTATATCACTTACTTGAATACATATCACATTCTAATGAAAGTCCATGTATTAAACCAATTACTACAACACATATAACATTCTACTGTATGTCCATGCATTATATCAATTACTACAACACATATAACATTCT